AGCAAGTTCCATCATCTTCACCAACCATTCCTCCATTGTAGGTATTGCCGAATCTTTCCATATCTGTGCATACAATCTCGCTGCAGTTATCATATACAAAAACAAAGTTCCATGACTAGAAGGATGATTTATTAAAATGTATATAAATGTAGCTTTAAAACATATTCACTTTATATTTATTTACTTTCTAGATTTATAGGCCAATGCAATCAACTAGGACTCTGGGCATCAAACAACACAATAGGAATATACAGTTAAAACCATAAAATAAAGTCCAAACAAATAAAAATAAAAATATACAAGAAACATCAGGGCAACTGCTTGAAATATTTTAGTATACCTAAGCAGTTACTGAGAAATAAATTTTGAACTTATATTGCTAGCCATATAAAATAGTAGTAGATTTCAGAGTATTTTCATTGTGAGATGTTCGTGCATTAGCTCCAACTGTGGTTCTGCATGAAATTCTAGACAAAAAAATTTCCAAGTTATCTATTGTCATGCCTGCATTTTGCTGATGATATTGAATATGAATGCTTTCTTGCCCAGAAAATAGTTTCCAGAAACTAGTAGGAACATTCTTTTCTTTGCAGTAAATAAAAGAAGTAAAATAATGTACAAATTAGAAAGTAACATTAAGCAACATTACCACATAAAATAATCTCAGTTCCCTACAGCAATTGAAAAGGCACCAATTGCTGTGTTTTTTGCCCAGTTCTGAACAATTTGATAAATTTACTTTTTTAGGGAATATTGCTGCATTTCTCTTTCTTCCCCCCTTCTCTCTCTCTAACTTTCCAGAAGTTTTTAAAAAATCTCTCAATAAATCATTCTTCATTTAATGGTCTGTATCATTTCCAAATTACTGCATGTGAAAGCACAGTTTATATTTAGCTTGTTTAAAATGGTTGTAGTGGTGATCAGCATTGAATAACACACACACACACACACACACAGAGACGTGACACATACTTTGAACTACAATGTTCATTGTATTCCTAACAAAGATAGTGGCAGTCTAAAATACCTGAAAGGCATCTGGCTGAGGAATGCCACTTTTCACAGGAAAAAACACTTCTTCCTTCAGAATAACTCATCATTTTGCTTTCTAGTTTTTACTGGATGGTAAACCTTCCTATACAGGGTTAATCAATCCATGAGGTTAACTGATTTTCAAAGTGCTACCAAGAGTGGGGTGCTGAAACATGTCTGCTTGTATCCTGGGCAAGAGGCAAATAGTTTGTTGAGAAGGTTGACGGTGCCATTGTATTTTATATCACTGTGATGTATTAATATGAAATGAATGTGGTATTATTCAGAAGCAGTTGACATTGCAGCAAGTATTACCCTATGAAATTAATCTTTTTAATATCCTAAAGCCTTTTCCTTGAAACACCTTACTACAGAATCCTGGCAGTTCTAAATTGATTGCATTTGCTTTCAGTTTATAATTTCTATGTGTGATTTAGCCAAATCCCTTTTATCCTATCTGTTTTTGTTGGCTTTTTGTGGCAAATAATAGTGATTGTTTCAGCAAAAAGGAATTTAGGCAAGCCCTATTAG